CCCCACCTGCACCGTCTTCCCGAGCCCCATCTCGTCCGCCAAGATTCCGTTGACCCCCTGATCATACAGATGCGCCAGCCACTGCAGCCCCTTGAGTTGATACCCCTTGAGGGAGCCCCTGAACCCCCCCGGCTGCCGCACCCCGCTCTCCTCAGGCATCGTGCTCGGCCGCATGCTGCCCGACGCCGCCGACGCCGCGGCGCTCGCGTCGAACGCCGCCGCCGCCGCGCGCGTGCTGGCCGCCGCCGCCTCGGCGCGCTCGGCCGCCTTGGCCCGCAGCTCCTCCGCCTCGTCAGCGTCGTCCGCCAGCTGCAGCCGGCCCCCCGGCGGCTGCCGCTGCCGCCGCCCCGCCCCCGCGCCGCCGCCCTCCCCAGCCGCCCCGCCCTCGCCGTCCGACCCTTCGGCTTCCTCCGCGCCGGCGTCCTTGGCGTCCTTGCCGCGCATGAAGTGGGAGTAGAGCTCTGTCTGAGTCAGCAGGAAGTTGAGGCGCTGCTGCTGGCGCCGCTGCTCCCGCTCCTCGTCCTCCCGCTTGGCCGCCTCGGCGGCGGCGCGCTCCTGTAAGGCGCGTGCGGGGCGTGGTGGGGGGCGGGCGAGGTGGGGCGCACGCGACGTCGGCCCCGCGGAGGCTGCGCGTCGGCTGGCAGAGCGGGTGCATCATTGAGCCCAAAAACATGCGCAACACGAGACACACACGTGCCAACGCAAGTGCACGAAAACACACACACATACACACTTGCACACATACAGACATACAACACACACAGCAAGCACACACCCCCACCTGCTGCTTGTTTGCGTCTGTCGCCTCTCGCGCCGCCTTCCTCCAGAACACGAGCATGTCGCGCGACAGCCGCCGCATCATCCCGGGCCCGCCGCTGCGGTCCTTGGCCCACCTGACGGCAAGAGGAGAGGGAGGGCGGGCAGGCGAGGATTTGCTGGGCTGGCAAGCCGCCATGTGCTGTGCACGCAGGCGCAGGAGCTGGCACAGGGGCGAGTGGTCGTTGGTGACGCGCACCGCGGCGGGCACAGCCAGCGGATCGCTTCTGAGGCGTGCGGCGACTGCAGGCGACGGCATCGGCAGACGCCGCCCTTCAAAATGACCGTGCTGACAGGCAGTCCTGGGCGCGGGCCGGGTCAGTGCAAAAGCGGCGGGCAGGCAGAGGGGAGGGGAGGAAGGGGGCCACCCACCGCTGGGCCCGGTTCTGCAGGACCCTCAGGGCCTCCGCCGCCAGCATCCTCCCGCCGCCCATCTGCCCGGCGCGCCGCATCGCCATGTTGCGCGCGGCGCGCGGCACCTGGCGCGAGATGGGAGGGGATGCATTGCGATATAGTAACGCCCCCCTCCCCCTTGGTCACGCTGCCAGCCCGCTTGTCACGCTGCGTGAGCACCGCACGCAAACTAAGTTGCAGACGGCGTGCAATGCAGCACAGCCGCCCAGCGGAGCTCCGCTTGTGCAGGCCCCTTTGGACACCGTCAGGCACCGTCCCGCTGGAAAGCCCTGCGCGAGCAAGGCAGGAGGGGCCCCGCGCCCGCGAGCCTCACCTCTCTCCGCGCCATTGCGCCCCACTCCCGCCGCAGAGCTGCATCCTCCAGTGTCGCGCGCAGCTGGGGGTCCCCGGCCGCGGCCTTCTCCAGCGCGGCGCGCTCGTACGCCGCGCGGCGGCGCGCCTGCGGCGGGGCGCGTAGGGTGGGGCCGGTGGCAGAGGGCGCCGTTTCGCACGTGCGTGATCGGCACCCACGAGAGGCCGCCATTTCGAGGGCGCAGCGAGGGCCTGCTGCCCTCAATGTCATTCCAACAAGACTCGATTGCGACGCTTGCTGGCTAGCGGCAAACATGGCTGCTCTCGCCAGGGGCGACAGCGCAACACAGGCTGGGGGCTCTGTGAGAATCCCCCGGAGCCACACCACATACCCGCACCTTGTCAGCAGCGTTGGGCGGCAGCGGCGGGCGCCCGAACGCCGCGCCAAAGGCATCCTCGCCGCCTTGGTCGCCGCCGCCGAACAGCGCCGCCGCCCCTGAAGGCGAGCCGTCCATCGTGTGCTGCCGCTTCGCCTCTCGCGCCGCGGCGCCGGCTGTGCCCGGCCCCGCCGCGCCCGCGCCCGCGGCTGCGGTCGCGGCCGTGGCGCCAAACAGCGGGCGGCTCCGCTTCGCGCCGGCGACCGGCAGTGATATGAGCAGGCTGTCGTGGCTCGTGCGCTGCGCGGGCAGGGGTGCGCCCAGCACGGGCGGCAGATCTGTGACGGGCTCAAGCTCGACCACCCACCGCTTGCCGTCAGCGGCGCTGCCAAACTCATCTACTGCCGCTGGCCCTGCTGCTGCATCGTCCTTCTCGTCCGCCGCACCTCCTTGCTGCTGCTGCTGCTGCTGCTCCTGCTGCTGCTGCTGCTTTGCCTTGAACCGCGGCGCCGGCAGCCCCGGCTGCCTCGCCACCCGCAGCAGCCGCTTCGGCGCCGCGCGGAACGCCGCACGCGCGGCGGCGCGGCGCCGCGCCCCCTCCAGCAGCTGCTGCAGCGCGGGCGCCGACAGGCCTGCCTTGAGCAGTGCCTCATCCACGAAAACATCCTCAAGCCTCGGCACCAGCCCGGATTTTGCAAGGTCGTCGTAGCGCGCGGGGATGCGCAGGCGCGGCGCGCCGGGGCCGAGGTCTATGCTGCCGCTGTCCCCGAGCAGGAGCGTGAGCAAGGGGCCTGATGACGGCGGCGGGCGCGGCTGCTGCGTCTGTGGCTGCAGCTGCGGCTTTGGATGTGACTGCGGCTCCGGCTGCTGTTGCGGCTGCGGCTGCGGCTGCTGCAGGAGCAGCTTTTTAGTTGCGGGATCGGTTTCGCCCGCCTGTGGCTTGGACGGCAGTGGCGG